CTGAGCCACCCAGGCATAAAAATACATCTAGTGTATTTTTAATTTCAGTTACTGAGTTATTCATCTATGATTGGTTCTTTTTATGTTTTCTATATTTTTGGTAAACTTCTCACTGAGGTCTTCAGCTCTTTTCTCAAGTTCAGTGAATATTTTTTTTTTTAATTTTTTTTTCAACGTTTATTTATTTTTGGGACAGAGAGAGAGACAGAGCATAAACGGGCGAGGGGCAGAGAGAGAGGGAGACACAGAATTGGAAACAGGCTCCAGGCTCTGAGCCATCAGCCCAGAGCCCGACGCGGGGCTCGAACTCATGGACCGCGAGATCGTGACCTGGCTGAAGTCGGACGCTTAACCAACTGCGCCACCCAGGCGCCCCTCAAGTTCAGTTAATATTTTTATGAGCATTACTTTTTCTATCAGAGTATACTTATCTCTGTTTAGGTCTCTTGCTGTGATTTTGTGCTGTTCTCTCATTTGGGATGTATTCCTCTGTCTCCTCATTATTTTCTAATTCTCTGTGTCTGTTTGTATGTATAAGGAAAGTCAGCTACATCTCCTGCCTTTAAAAGTAGTGGAGGCGCCTGGGTGGCTCAGTTAAGCTTCCGACTTTGGCTCAGGTCATGATCTCACACTTCGTGGTTGGAGCCCCACATCCTCCTCTGTGCTGACAGCTTAGAGCCTGGAGCCTGCTTTGGATTCTGTGTCTCTCTCTTTCTCTCTGCCCCTCCCCCACTCATGCTCTGTCTGTCTCTCAAGAATGAATAAACGTTAATTTTTTTTTTTTTTTTTTTTTTAAGTAGTGGCCTTTCGGGGCACTGGGTGGCTCAGTCAGTTAAGTGTCTGACTTTGGCTTAGGTCATGATCTTACAGTTTGTGGGCTTGGGTCCCGCATCGGGCTCTGTGCTGACAGCTCAGAGTAAGGAGCCTACTTTGGATTCCGTGTGTGTGTGTCTCTCTTGAAAATAAATAAACATTAAAAGTTACAAAAAAAAAAAAAGTAGTGGCCTTAAAAAGAAAAGATCCTGTAGTACCCTGCAATGCAATGTCTCCTGTTCACCAGAACCTTGCATATCAGATGTGTTGGCTGTTGTCATAGGGTTTGGTCCTTGTGTTTTCAGTGGACCAGTCTGGGTCCACCTTGTGCTTACACTGAGTCAGAGCAGACATTTGCCAGAGATTCAGTAGTTCCAAACTGCAGGAGAGCACAGGGTCAGTCAGTGTCAGGAAGGTCCACGTCAGCAGGGGGAGACCTGAAGCCACAGGGGATCAAGGCAGGCTGGATCATAGAAGGAAGATCCACAAAAGCAGGTGGGCTGGGACACATGGTGTTAGAAGGTTTGTGCAGGTCCTCTATGATTGGGGACCTGGATCTGAGGCCTGGCTGGAAGGGGGACAGCTGCAAGAAAACATGGCAGTGGGGTGCACTGTTAGCAAGCCAGGTGGCAAGTGCTGGCACCATGGTGGTTCCTGTAAGTGTCTATGCATGTAGGCTGCGAGGCACGGGAGGGACATGGTGCCTACCAGTTCCTTTGTTCCTGGAAGTCTCCCAATGATTCCTGCCCCTCCAGTACATGCTCTGAGATGAGTGAACATATCTCCTTCCCATATACCCTGGGTGATTTTCAAACTGGTGCTTCTATGCTGCATCTCCACAGGCTGTTTGTTGTGCTATCTTTTTAAAGGCTGGGACTCAGTTTCCTCTTGCCCTACCAGCTGTCCTGTGAGACCAGTGATTTTTAAAGTTCCAGGCTTTAAGCCTCGATGACTGTAAGAACTCATGAAACTCCCCCCTCTGGTTTTCAGATCCAAATGTTATCGGGATTTGTCTTTCCCACGTGGGCTCCCAGTGTGTGAGGTGAGGGTCTGTTACTTCCTCCTTTCTAAACCTGTGGTGTCCCTCCCTCCTGTGAACCGTCTGGTGGATCCCTTTAGAGCCTGTGTCTCTGCCTTTCCTATCCTCTCTGATGTGGTCTCTTCTCTACTTGTAATTGTGGAGAGTCTGTTCTGCCAGTCTTTGGGGCATTTTCTGGGTTATTTACCCCGATATGGCTGCTATTTAGTTGTATCTATGGACAAGATGAGCTTAGGGTCCTCCTCCTATTAGGTCATCTTCCCCAGAAGTCCCTAAAATCTTTTGACTTTAGTTATTTGAGTCTCCTCTGCCTCTCTCTCTTTTCATCACTGTAGCTAAAGGTTTGTCAATTTTGTGATATGTTTGAGGAACCAACTCTTAGTTTTGAGGGTTCATTAGTATTTATATTAACTTTACTATTTTATACTTCTGTTCAAATCTATTAGTTGGAAAATATAATGCAATAATAAAATTAAAATAAAGAGATGGGTTGATGGAATAGATTTAATTACACCTCTAGGAAGTAGCACACCCAGGAACCAATACAAGTTTTCTTGACTAAATCCCCACTGTGCCACCCAAAATGTAGCATATACTTTTTTCTAAACCTGTTTTTAGAATCATTAATATAATATTGAATATAACTGCTGACATGGTGAGAAAAGAGGCTATTTATTTTTGAGAGAGCACACCTGCATGAGTGGGGCAGGGGGAGAGAGAGGGGAAGAGAGAGAATCCTAAGCAGGCTCCATAGCCAGTGTGGAGCTCAACACGGGGCTCAATCTCATGACTGTGAAATCATGACCTGAGCCGAAATCAGGAGTCAGAAGCTTAACGGACTGAGCCACCCAGGCACCCCGGTAGGAGGCTATTTAAAAAGTAAAATCAAGGGGTACCTGGGTGGCTCAGTCTGTTGAGCAGCTGACTTTAGCTCAAGTCATGATCTCACGACTCGTGAGTTTGAGCTCTGCATCAGGGTCACTGCTATCAGCACAGAGCCTGCTTCAGATCTTCTGATCCCCTTTTTCTCTACTCTTTTCCTGCCTGCAGTCTCTCTCTCTCAAAAATGAAATAAATCTTTAAAAAAAAATAAGTAAATTCAAGAATTGGCATATATGATCGTGTTTAAGAGATAGCTGGAGCAAAAGGCAATTATGAAACTGCCCTGATATGTAGGTCCCTGTAAGAGGAGGGATGTACAAGTTGGGATGGAGTTCATTGAAAGGCCACTGCTAAAAAACGACTGAAGTGTATAAGGGCACATGCATGGGAGGATGGGAGGAAGAGTTGATGGAACTCAGGTTGCTTCTGTAATGTCTGGGCTTCATCCTCAATAGCACTTTTTCTCAGGAACAATTGGCTTATTCCATATAAAGCCAGTCTGTACTCCAGGGTGATTTCTCTCCAGGATTTTATAGACAGCATTTTCCAAGATAAAATGAGCAGTTATAGATTAAGTATTATATGGCCAAATCTGTGAAATGCCTTTTAAACATCAGGCAAGCCTCCATCTATTTGTGCATGAGCCAGGTCTGTCATTTACATTGCTGTTTGTCAGAGGATCTGCAGACTGTTGGCATAGTTGGCATTAGTTTAATTAACACTGAAGCTTATAAATCAAAGTAAAGACTTCATATATCCTTTGAGACTTATGTTACTAACTGCTAAGAATAATTCTACTTTCTGCAGAGAAGTGAAAATTGGAAACCAAGAGTATAAATTTGGCTAATTTGACAATAGTTGTTACATCTATTAATTATCTTCTTTTAAATACATACATAAAATATTTTATTATCTATAATCAGTTGGCACAGATTTTGTAGAGTTGGGAATACAGACGCTTTTTTATTTCAAATTCTCCGTATTTGGTTCATACTCCTATTACCCAGCAATTATATTTAAAGCAAAAGTTAACCTGCTCTCATAAAATTATATAATCATGTAATCAGAAGGGAAATTAGTGGTTCTCTTGTTCTGCTTTGGAGAGATCTACTCAATATGGTCTCATTTAAAATTTTTAGTAACAAAATTTTCAGCATGCTGGTTTTAACCAGTTTTAAATCAGTCAAGTTCATTTTTATAACTCTCCTACCTATAACTTTCCTATTCCTTTTACAAATTTCCTATCAGTCTTCCTTCCTTCTCTTTAATAACAGTTTTTTCTAGTTCTTTGAGATTTACGTAATACATTGGAGTATACAGACTCCATGCCGCTGTGCCCCTTCATTCTGAGGGAGGGCTCCAGCAACGGTGATCCTGTAGCATGAAGTTAAACACTGTAAGGGGAATGGGCCTGTTCAAAGATCACCTTCCTCTTTGATCCTGCTCTTTCACGGGGTTTGGTTTTGCAACTGATGGTACTGCCATTTTCTCCTTCCCCAAACTCAAGTTCAGCGTCACCCTTTCTCTCTTGAGTTCATATCTCAGTGGCTCTGCTTTACCTAATATTGACTTTCTCTGGTTGCTTAGGCTCAAATCCTCGTGTTCCTTAGTGTGGTCTCCATCTGGCCCTCACTACCTCTCTCTCTACCTGGTGACTCTGAGAGCTGCTATTTAGGTCATGTGCTTGAGGGGCTAGTATCAGGTTAAGGTCACCGCAGCCTGCTTGGCCAAATAAAATGAATGCGGAGGCAGCAATACCATCAGGTAGCTAAGCTAAACTTCCAGCACACACACGCATACAAAACCATATTAGCTTTGTCTTGCTTGTGGTATAAGGTTGAAAGTCCTAGCCTTATTTTCCAGATCTTGTGGTCTTGTATAATTTGCCCTAACTCTACCTTTCTAAGTTTCTTTCCAGATCCTTCTGTCTAGCTCTTCTGTGTTCCAGCACAAAAGAGGACTGAACTTCTTTTCCTTAAAATGTTAAGAAAACTCCTAACTCATCCTTTGCTCATGCTCTCCCTTATTCTATCTTTACCTCTTTTCTTCCACATCACCTTGCAAGATCTCTCTCAGACGGCATGTTCTCACTGAAGTTTCCACCATTACCCTTATTCGAAATTAACCTCCCTTCTTTCATCTTCCACTGCTTGTTGTTTTGCCTGTATCAGAGCGTAACTTTTATCTTTCTTTCTTACACTTACTGCCTTACATTGCTCTCTCCTCTACCTAATTGGAAAAGAAAGAAACTCACTGCAGGCAGAGATTTTCATATCGATCTTCCTCTTTATTTGTCTGAATGTCTATTATAGTGGCTTCCATGTGGTGGGAGCAAGATGAACAGTGGCTGCTTGAAGGATTCACCATCTCTCACCAGATGCCCTATTCAACATGCCTTACTGAGGTAGCCAGGGCGTCCTGAATATGCTAAGACTGTAATTCTTCCTCATCAAGACTCATTCTGTTTTTCAAGTATTCAAGATAAGCACAGTCTTTTGGAGATAACACCATGTGACTTCTCTTCTTTTGTATCTGCTTTTGCCTGGATGGGGGTGGAAGAAAGGGGCACAGGCAGTTCAAATCCCTATATCACAGTTTGCTTTTCCACAGCACCTTTCATAGATCATAGGTCTCAGTGCCCAGATGGTTTTCTTCTATTACCCACTAATTATTAATGAGGATGCACAGCAAAGCCTCCACAGAGTAGCATCTGGAAAGCTATAATTTTCTGGAGCTCCATTTCAATAACATGCTTCTGTCTGAGTGTTTAGATTCTCCTCCCAGAGAGGAGAGTCTCCTCCCTCCACAGGAATAAAGCCATCTACCTTGTGGCTCAGTGGCTCCTGATCTTTTGGCACAAGGGAGGGAAGCAGGGCACCCCTGAGTGTGCCGATTCACAATCCCCAGGTGCTGCAGTGTTGTGGTGAGTGAGGTCTGAGTGGGGATGTGGGGTCAGAGTTACTGTTTTATTTATTTATTTATTTATTTATTTATTTATTTATTTATTTATTTTATTGACAGAGTGGGAGAGAGAGAGGGACAAAACTCTCTTGGGGGAGGGGCAGAGAGAGAGGGAGACACACAATCTGAAGCAGGCTCCAGGCTACGAGCTGTCAGCACAGAGCCCGATGTGGGGCTCGAACTCACGAACCATGAGATCATGACCTGAGCCGAAGTCTGATGCTTAACCGACTGAGCCACCCTGGTGCCCCAATAGCTATCTACTTTCTGTGGCCAAAGTCAATTTTGTCCAAATTTTGAAATTTGGCAGAACAGACTCTAAGCCCAAAATAATTTGGTAAAACATTCACTAATTCTCCCTTTAATGATAGGGAATATTGAACCAATTTATAGGAAGGAACATTATAAATGTTATGTGGCAAGTACCAGGGATTAGGATATGTGATTTTTTTTAAAAAATCACTCATGCCTGATTTTTCCTTATAAACTGAAATTCAAACTCATGTCAAAATTTTTAATAGAATGTTAAAGATAAGTTTTGAAGTAAACAGTAATTTCAGAATAGGATACAGAAGCTTGAAGTCAGAAATAAGTACAAAATAACCCAATACCATCTGATATTTGAATCTTCTTGAAAGTATTTCCATGAATTGATAGTTTATCTTTGTTACAGATTTGAGGTGTCAAGGGTCCCAGTAATTTCTCCCAGAGACGACTACTGTCTCCTGAGTTCCCCTTGGGGTCAACCTGAATGAGTCCATTTCCTCTCTACTGAACAGTCTCCTAGCCAATGTCCCATGTTTCCCACCTGGCCCACATTTGACATGGTTCCTGTCATTTGTTTCGTCCTTTGAATGAAAACTTTCAGCTTTCTTGGTTTTGCCAGGCTTGACTTTTAATGCTTACTGTACAAGCAATTAACAGGATTTGAAAGGTCAATGGGAAACAGATTAAAGAACATTTTCTGAATGCCAGCACCCCGTGAAGCCAGGTCTGGAATGTGAAGGGTCATCCCTGTAGACATTCTGACTCCCCCTCCCCCTTTGTCAATTATTAGGTGGTTTATGAGAATCCAAACAGCATTAATCAAAGTGACAGGGGGAAAATCCTGTATTTGTACATGCCATTTAGGAAAAGTTATTTTAGTATAAGAAGTCTTGCTTTTGGAAATTTGCAAGCATGCACGCACAGGGGCATTTGTCTGCTTTGTCAGGAAAGGTAGTGATTACTGAGGGGACACTTCTCAGAGGGTTCCTGCGGTCCTACATCCTCATGCTCCTCTTTGGCACCCTCACTCCTAAACCAATTAGAAAAGTAGGCTAACAGCTCTGGGCAAATGGTCTGTCAGATGAAGACAAAGGTTTCAAGGAGGCAGGGAAATGGTTGGATAACACTGCTACATGAAGACAGAATATATAGTAGGTGTTTTCTCATACTCTGACTCTCAAAGGACATTCGATGGGTCCCTTGGGGCTTAAAAATACTAGTATCTATCAAAATCATGCTTCCTGTACCATAGTACCTTTGCCTTGGGTTCTTTCAAATTGTACCAAATGTTTTCCAAAATTGAAAAGTGGGATGCGTTATGGATACTACTTTCTCATTTTAGCATCATATAATGATTTAATGAGCCTCACTGGGTTACAAATGGGATAGAACCATGTTCCCTTGTGTTCCTTTTTTCTTTCTAATAAAATGATCTCATAAGGTTGAAATCACTTTATTTCCTTTGGGAAAAATACAAGGCCTTCCCATTGATAAGAATAGTTAATTTCAACTTTAATTCTTTTTACTACATTTCAACTTTACTTTTTAAAAATAATTTTTGGTGGGGGGCATCTTCCTAATATCCCTTTAAAATAGTCTAATCCAGTATGAATCTGGTACCCTCAGTTCACTTATTAACTGGGATAAGTGCCTAACCTCAAAAATTGCTTAGCATTTTACTGTTCAATATATTCTACTACTCATGAGGGTAGCAAGAAATAAGATTTAAAAAATCATTATCAGATGAAAGATACTCATCAAATAAATGATCATTCTTAAGGAGAAATAGGGGATTGATTTTTTTTTTCTCATTTGAAAGCATTGACTTCAGGCTCATTTGTAATAAAATGATTTATTTATCATTGCCGAGCAGGGGAAATTGCTTTTCTAAAATAATAACACTCCTTTATTTTCTAAAAAAACTAGATAATTATAGCAGCACATAAGACACTAAGAATTTCCTCTACCACCCTAAGTCTCCCTCCCCATTCTCCAAATCTGCTATTTCCCTGAAAGTTTTCAAATCAGCAAGCTTGAAATGAGTTTCCTGAGAGTTCTTTTTCTCTCTTTTCCAAAATTTCCTAAGGTTACTCTATATATACCTAAATGCCAATAATTGTCTTGAATAGACTGAAGTAAAATAAATGAGATGGCTAAAATTCATTTTTATCTCATAAATGTTACACCTTGTCAATTAAAACAAATACTCCTTTTCTGTGCCAAGAAAACATTTTCTGTTACATTCACAATCTGTTTCAACTGCCATTGGGTACAAGGAAAACCTCTAACAGATGGGAATCAGTAAATAGCAATTGCAAGAAGAACTGACTATCTGAATAACAAATGGAAGACATATTCTGTATTACCTTGGCAGGCAGACGTGGTTCTGAGGGCTTTTTGAGGCACTGTACTACTGATTCGGAGGACAAGACTGGGGTCGAGACACCCCCTGAAAAAGAAAATATATGTATGCTTTACACAGACCATCACCCCTTATCTCATGTCACACAGAGTCAAGGTTGTAAAGACCTTTCTATTCTTAGAATATTTGGGAATAGTGAGACACAGGAAGTAAGGGGTGCAGCCTAGGAGGTGTGGAGGTGTTCATCCAGAGACAAGGGGATAACACAGTCACCCTGGAGTTAAAGATCACAATGTCCTTCATTAACCTCTAACCCCACTTTCAACAAGAAAGAGACAGAGATAGTATTCAAGTGGGTAAACACGGTGATGGTGACGACTCTCTTTCTAAGAGCACAATGCTCAGAGCCATTGTGCTCTGCACAAAGGCTGCAGAAAATGCTACCTAGAGAAAGCCTTACATCAGGGCCAGTAGAGGAAGTTGCCGTCAGCACCACGTGGGCCAGATGCCTGAAAACACTGAACAAGTGAAGAAGTCTTGGACTTCTTCCAAGGCAAAAATAGTAAAAAGCCCGTGTCTGCTTTCTACCACCCAAGCGGGAACTGCTTCATGAGTTGCTCCTTTGAAATTTCCTTTCCAAGTCTAAGCAGCGTGTGCAAGAGGAGTGCACCAAGAAATGTCTTAGGTGTGTGCTGAGATGGGAGGTAGGAAAGACACAGGTGGATTATCCTCTGTGGCCTTTGCTTACCATTCACCTATGCTTACGGATTAAGGCCCGAAACTTTGAGGAACAAAGCAAGCTAGTTATCCCTGGATAGACTACTAATGTGAAAATGTATAAGGAAACCTAACTTCAACTTGGAACCAGGGACCCGTGAAGGGAGAGCTCTCACGCAGGTATCACTCATCGCAGCTTGCACAGTTCAGCAGGAAGAAGGAAGACTTCCTATCCACTTGGCAGCAGCAAGCTGCACTCCCCGGCGGCCAATGAAAAACCGTCACCACTTCAAACTCCTATTTTCCTCCAGTGAACTTTTGTTCAAACAACTGCCCCCCTCCCCCAACTTCCTCCTTTCCTCTATAAAAGGACACGCTCCTCCTCTGTTCTCTGGACTTGCCAATGGTTCGCCATAGTCTGCTTGTCTCGAATTGCAATTCCTCTGCTATTTCTGAATAAACTCCATTTTGCTGTCTGAATTGCTTACCTTTTCTTTTAAAAGGTTGACGGTAACAACCTAAATTCTTTCCTATCCTTCCAATAGAGAGATACAGACCTGAGAGAAGGACTCGACATGAGAAAGGAGGCTTGGAAGAAGGGAACATGCAGGAGCAGTTAAGAGAAGGTTCTCTGAACTTCTCAAGTGTACCTGTTTCCCATACCACAGCATCTCTTTCCACCATCCCTTCACCTTGCCTTCTGCAGGGTCCTGGAACAGTGGAGTAGCTCAAAATGTGCTATCAACCACAGTTGTCTCCTAGGACCTTTTGTTTGTTTTCAGAAATAAGACTTCCAAGAAATGATAATATGAAACATGTATATTCAAGTTAAATACGCTTCATTATTTTCATTAATCTTTGCAATGCTTTTAATACATTCCTATGAAGCAAGAGAATACAGTTTGGGATGAAAATTTATCCAAGTGAGACTTAAAATATCATTATGGCTATGAAGGATTTAGATATTAGATTTTATACTCATTGCTCTTCACTTGTTCAATCAACCAAAAGGCAAATGGGGGAATATCCTGAGTTTTCTTAACCTCCCATTGAGGGAGAACATGAAAACTGGTGTTTTTTTCTCACAGCGTAATCTTTGAACAGATCGTCATAATCATAGTATGTCTGTATTCAAAATCATCATCAATGCCAAAAAATAACTCTTATCATGCTTTTACATACCTACTTGTCTATGCTGAGTCACACAGATAAACTGAACAGGGCCCCTGGCTTTCCTTCACCTTGCTTGTTTGTTGTTTTTCGGGTTTTTTTTTTTGGTTGGTTGGTTTGTGTGTCCTTTCACAAGTCTCCCTTGATCCTTTCCAGGGAACCACTCTGCTCAATGCTGGTTCTTGCCCCCCCCCCTCCAGCCAAATGACAGTTGTATACCTCTTACCATCTCTCTGTGTCCCTCACTGGGCCCTCCTCTAGTACTCAGCAAATAAAGATAAACCCCTCTGTGCTCCATATATCTTAGCAAATGTCCAACCTTGTTCAATTGCAGCGTACGTTTGGCTGAAGTAAACATATTTAGAGAAGTCCTTATGTTCATGTGGTATATTGCTGTCAACCTATCTGGAGCTGATCTGCTATAGTGCACAGTATATACATATATACATAAGTTCTTTACAGAAATAACTTGCACTAAGAAAGTAACACAATGAGCTCTAATATGAAAATGCATAGTTACTTAATCATAAGAGTAATATTTGCATTCACTGTTTACATAGTCTACAGAAATCAGCATATTAAAAAAAATAAGCTGGCGGATTCCAGGGCTTGGCATAAACTAGTCTTTGTATATTGTCATTGTCCCAGAAACAGCACAACACTTGGTGAATAATTTAAAACTTTCCTGTATTATTTTTGAGCAGGATGTAGGAGTATTATACATTGCTTGTGACTACCCATGTCCAGTTAGGAAAAGAAAACCAACTCCACGTATTTCAAACCGATTCGATTAGAAAACTGGTTATAAAAGTAACCAAAAAAATGTATCAACAAAAAGAAGAAAGAAAGAATGGATGAAATTCCCCTAGACAGTGGTAACTGCATAATTTACTGCTATTAGTAACTGCAGGATGCCATTACTACTCCCGGGGCTAAGGACACAAAAGGGAGATGGTGTGACCCCATGTCCTCATGGCTGTGCTGCTGTGGATGCTGGAGTTCCTCCAGAGCCACTGCTGATGGACCCAGGAGCCCACACTCCTTGTGACACTGCAGGAGTCAGAGCCCAGGAGCACTGGGCTAACAAAGCTGCTGGAGCCTCCAGTGCTGCTAATGCAGGAACCCAGGCTGGCACTCGTCACTTGCCAAGTGCATTGCCAGGAGTAAAACACTGGCTGAAAATAAGGGTCTGCCCTTCTTCCCACCTCTCAATCTATTGCCAGTGTCTCCTGTTATCAGCAACTTACTAGAAATCTGCCCTAGGGGAGTCTGGAAAAGGGAGTGTGTAGATATTCTGCTCCTGTGATACAGAAAACAGCATAAAAGGGGAGTACTGGAGCAAAACGCCAGACCAGTAACCATCCCAGTGTTTTGCATAGAATATTCTATGTGTAGATAGCTCTATAGGAAGCCTGGTTGGCATTTATCTCTTTCCCAAATACCCCTACTCATATCATCTGCTAGAGGCTTTCCTGATTTTTGTGGTCATTACTTCTCTCTCTCCCCCTTTCCCTCTGACACTCTATCCAGATAGAATACTCTATCCCTAAATTCTCACATGCCACCTGTATTTCCACCTGTGTTCGCCAACTGTGTCAACTCTCTAAGGCAGCTGGAGGACTCATTGGCTTCTTGTCTTATTTCTCCTTACTCCATTATTTAAAGTAGTGTGTGGATCCCCTTTGAAACTAGGTTTTTTTTGTTGGCTTGTTTGGTAGTTTTACTTTAACTGGTTGGTTTCATCAGAGAAAAAAAAAATTCCCTTCTATTATGAACTCAATGTTTGTATCCCCCCAAAATTCCTATGCTGAAATCTTAATCCCCAGTATGATGGTGTTCAGATGTGGGCCTTTGGCAAATGATTAGGTCATGAGAGTAGAGCCTTCTTGAACAGGATTTATAAAACGGAGCCCCAGAACTCCCTCCTCTTCCACGATGTGAAGACACAGCGAGATAGTGATGCATGAACCAGGAAGTGGATTCTCACCAGACACCAAATATACTAGCCCCTTGATCTCTAGTTTTCTAGCCTCCAGAACCATGAGAAGCAAACTGCTGTTGTTCATAAGCCACCCAGGCCATGGGGTTCTGTTACAGCAGCCCGAAACAAGACCACTTATGGCAGTAAGAAAACAAATTGGAGATCAGATGGGTTCCTGTCCTGTATTCACTAATATTGACATTACAAATTTGGGGAAATCTCTTCACTTCTTTGAGTATAAGTTTTTTCAAAAGGTTGGATGTGGTATCTAAATTTCTGTCCTACTCAATTATATGAGGTTTTAGAAAAGTCATTTATGTTTAAAATAACTCATGTCTCAATTCTGAAACACTTTCATGGGCATAACCTTTAAAAAGGAAGGAAGGTAGAATCCCATCCCAGGAAGGAAAACATATATCTATTATAAAATCAAATACACCACAGAATCCAGAAAATAGTTCAAAATGCCTTTTCCTGAACTTCCTTAAGTTATCTATTCTGTAGCAGGTCTAGTGGATTGGCTCCTGCCTTCTTTCTCCCACAATTCACACTTCCTCCCTCAGTCTCTCTGCCTCTTGGCTGTCACCATCGAGTTGCACTTTTTTCTCTTTTCCTCCATCTCAGAAGGCCCATTCAGTTTCATGTGGGTCATCCCTTATTAAACCTAGTAGAAATGGCTTCCAACCTCATGTCACAAGACTATGACAGCCATCTGCTCTTTCCGTCAAAACTTACAGGGACACATCTACCAGGCACAGAAACTTCCTCTTGCTGACTTTGACCAAAAATGATAACACAAACTTTCAGGACAATATTATCTCTCTAAGCTCTTTCCTCATCTTTTCAATCACCTTGTTTATTACCCTAGATATCTATGGCTGAATAGATAAAAGTACAGGTGACATTATAAGAGATGCAGGATGAGAAGATTCTGGTCTACCTTGCTACAGAACGTGCATAGAGTTAACCATCTCATAAATTGTGAAGAACAATAGAGTTTTAAAATTAAGGCTATAGCACAAGGAAAGATGGGAAAAACAGATTAGTTTACTTAACTTCTTGGCCTATGGCCATGCATTTCTGAACACATGGTTTATTGAACTCTTTCTTCTCTTGATAACAGTGAATGCTTCAATAAAATATATAACCAGGAGAGTTGCAGAAAGAAAACTAACAGTTACAAATAATATTTACTGGTAATGCTCAAATCAGAAATGTA